CATGGAACGCTGTTCTTTTTCATAACGTTTATTATACCATGATTTATTTGACACAGTCTGGATTCAGACGTAAGCGATATATATATATATATATAAACAGTTTTGGGATCTCATTTCATTAGACATAGCCCCCCCCCCTAAATAAACTAAACATTATTTCCCATCATCATCCTACAGCGGAATACAGTGAAGCGAACTTCACTGATCGCTGCCAAACTCGCAATACATGCAAAGTTAGTGGTAAAATTTAAGGTGGACAGGGGTTGGATCTATTTTGACGAACGGAGAAGAAGATGAGCCACTATGGTCAACACAGAGTACGCAATCGAACTTTGCATACATACCGCTTCAAGCATTCTGACCTGATAAGAAACGACAACAAGAACGCCAACTGATGCCGGTTCGCTGCCATAACCTCTTGTGCCTCCAACCAACCAGTTGTGGAGTCTTTCGGACTCTGGACCAGGAAGGCGAGGGAAACCTACTCTAGTTAATGGCTCTATGCACTTCTTCATGCCTCATCTCAACGACATCTGTTGACCTCCACGTGGTTTCCTCCAGCCCAGATCAGCTACAGCGAATGGATTGCGATGCGGCAGACGATGGCTGGGCATACGCAATACGTGCCCTAGCCAGCGAAGCCTAGTAATTTGAATTCGGTATGTTAGCAGATTTATCCCTGACAGACTCTCAAACACACGGCGGTTTACCTCCACGTTACTAACAGGTTCGCTCCATCCAACACGGGATAAACTGCGTAAACACCGATAATCGAACACTCGCAATTTCAGGGTCTTACAACAATAAACCAGGACTGAACGAACGCCAGCACAATGTACACGACCTTTTAACTTCAGTGAAACGTCGCGTCTACGCCAAAGGTGTTTCACTCCTGCATATGATGTTCGAGCCTTGGAAATGCGGGCGGTTATCTCCTTTACTGCACTACCGTCGTTGGTCACGCAACTACCTAAGTAGGAAACGTAATCCACCACAACTAAATCCTGGCCATTTAGTGACAGAGTGGGAGTAGACGAAACCCAGTCCTGCAGCATCAATTTGCACTTCGAAGGTGCAAA